CCTGCAATCCAGGAAACCTGGGGTTCGACGACTGGGTTGGGAAGGTCCCCTGGGGAAGGGGATGGCTACCCACTCCAGTATTCTCGCCTGGAGAATTTCATGGACAGAGGAGCCTGGTGGGCTTACAGTCCATGGGGTCACAGAGTCAGACGTGACTGAGCAACTAACGCTTTCACAACCTGATGCTTTAGAAAGACATGATCTCTACTGTTGTTTCTGCCAGAGGATGTCATGGTAGCCTCCCACTAACTAGGCCACTGGTGACAACGGCAGAGGGGACAACCAGGGGAATTACCCGGGTTTCGTGTGCACGCCTCCCTAGCCCTGACCCTCCCCTCACTGCACTGCAGAGAATCTAACTCCCATGCAGACTGCATGCTTCAGTCGGTTCAGTTCAGTCGCCCAGTCGTGTCCGACTCTTTGCGACCCCATGGACGGCAGCGCGTCAGGCTATGTCCCCAGAAATGTGTATGTTGAATTGCTAACCCCCAGTGAGATGGTCCCTGTTGGCTCGGCAGGAGAGAATCTGCCTCCCAATGGAGGAAATGCAGGTTTCATCCCTGGGTTGGGAAGATCCCCTAGAGAAGGAAATGGCAACCCATTCCAGTATTCTTGCCTGGAGAATCTCATGGACAGAGGAGTCTTGTGGGCTACAGTCCATGGGCTTGCAAGAAGCAGGACAGAGCACTCAAACATGCAAAATGTGATGGTAACAGAAGGCAGGGGTTTGGGAAGTGGTTAGATGGTTGGGGTTGAGCCCTCATAAACGGGATTAGTGTCCTTACAAAAAAACCCCAGAAAGCTTCTTCACCCCTTCACCAGGTGAAGACTCAGAACTTGCCAGCATCTTGATGCTTGTTTGTTTATTAAGAGATGTTTTTAAAATGTAGACCATTTTTAAAGTCTTTACTGAACTACTTACGGTATTGCTTCTGCTTTGCGTTTTGGTTTTTTGGCCCCGAGGCATGTGGGATCTTAAGTTCCCTGACCAGGGATTGAAGCTGCACCCCCTGACATTGGAAAGGGAGGTCTTAACCACTGGAGTTCCGGGGAAGTCTCTAGTGCCTTCATCTTGGACTTCCTAGTATCTAGTACATGGAGAAAGGTGAATTCTCTAGGGCCTTGATCTTGGACTTGCTAGCATCTGCAACAGGGAGAGAGGTTTGTGGTTTTGTTACGACAGTCTGTACGGACTAAGATGCCTCTCCAGGGAAGACGACATCACCCATCTCCTGCCATCGATTCTGGGCATCCTGTGCTAAGAGCCATGAGAAGTGGCTGTGTCCGTTTCCCTTGTCTGTTCTTTCGGAAAACTACCTTATTCCAAGATCAAGTTGGATGTGTTATTCCAAGTTGTGCAGGACTTCACAGTCGAATGGTTTTCGATAGCAAGGAAAAGACTGATAGCAAGGAAAAGAATCATATTCTTGCCCCTTTTGAAGTCAGTCAAGAGCAAGGGAAATTAAAAAATAAAGAACAGCAGAGGAATTATCCCAAGGGGACATATCTGAGGATACACAGATATATGTATCAGCATGCAGCTGGCAAAGCTTTGAGTTGAGTCAGCAAAAGCAAAATGAAGTATAGTGGTGAGTGAGTACATGGTGCATTTAGCCCACTTAAACTGTCTGTATAAACATTAATAATTTAATAGTAATAAAAAGTACTTTCTGTAGAATTATAAAATGACAATGAAATAATAATTACTACTACTTTTATATAATTTCCAGTAGTCACACACGGATGTGAGAGTAGGACCAAAAAGAAGGTTGAGCGCCAAATAATTGATGCTTTCGAATTGTGGTGTTGGGAGATACTCTAGAGAGTCCCTTGGACTGCAAGGAGATCAAACCATAGTCTGTCCTAAAGGAGATCAACCCTGAATATCCATTGGAAGGACTGGTGCTGAAACTGAAACGCCAGTATTTTGACCACCTGTTGCGAAGACCTGACTCAGAAAAGACCCCGATGCTGGGAAAGACTGAACGCAAGAGGAGAAGGGGGTGACAGAGGATGAGATGGTTGGATGGCATCACCCACGCAATGAACATGAGTTTAAGCAAACTCGAGGAGACAGTGATGAACAGGGAAGCCTGACGTGCCGCACTCTACGGGGTCGCAAAGAGTCAGACACAACTTAGCGCCTGAACAACAAAAAATCATTAATAAAATTTATCCACTTTTCCTAATCTGCAGTAATTGCTTTTCTTCCTGCTTCAAGTTATGTAGACAATCACTTCAAAAAATTTTGCGACAGTGCAGACATAACTTAGGCAAGAAAAACTCTAAACCCTGAATTTCCCTAATAATCGGTGCCTCAACTGTAAAAGTACTGCCCAAGAACCAAAAACCTTTCTATGATTAATATTTATATATGTAAGTAATTATGCGTATCTGTTTTAATCAGGGGAAAAAAAAAGCAGCATAACTGAAGCCTTTTCATACTGTTCATGGGGTCCTAGAAGCAAGAATACCGGAGTTGGTTGAAATTTCCTCCTCCAGCGGACCACACTGTATCGGAACTCTCCACCGTGACCCGTCCGTCTAGTGTGGCCCTGCATGGCACGGCTTGTAAAGAATCTGCCTCCAATGCAGAAGACGTGGGTTCGACCCCTGGGTCGGGAAGATCCCGTGGAGGAGGAGGAAACGACAAGCCACTCCAGCATTCTTGCCTGGCGAATCCCCTGGACCGAGGAGCCGGGCGGGCTACAGTCCAGAGAGTCGCAATGAGTCAGACACAAGTGAGTGACTTAAGCACACACGTGTGCATGGCATGGGTCATAGCTTCACTGAGTTACACAAGTCCCTTTGGGACCACAAGGCTCCATTGTAACCGCCCAGGCCTGTTTAAAATCCTCATTCAATGCCCAGAGCCTCACGGTTCTCTTTCCAAGCTTCACGTAGGCACACATGATGCCCAATATTGGGAAGCCAGAATGTAAGGGTTTGTGTTTTTTTGAATATATGACTTGCTCCTTCAGCGCATTATTTAACTTCAAATCTCTTGTCTCTAATCGTCTGTGGAAGCAGTGGGTTACCATAGTTACAAAGTAAAGAGTGTTATGGCAACAAAGAAATGACTGATGAAGTTCTACATGACAGATCCGAAGACAGTAGGAAAGGGCCCCAGCGGGCACCTGGGAACTTATCGAGCTGCCGGTCACAGATAATGCACCATGGAAACGTATCAGGATCTGGGTCAGAGAGCCTCTCCGGGGCTTCCAGACGGCTCTCCTACGGGGCGCTTCGAAGGGCTGACCTGAGGAACGGGGCCATACTGGCGCCAGCATCCGTTAATGTTAGCACAGCGCCCGAGGACGCGCTATAACCACTGCCCGCCACGCTCTGTGATGGGTTCAGGCCAGGGGCTGTGATGACCTACCAGGAGAACCCCGGGGCTGCAGGTGCCTGCCACAGGGGCTTCCCTCGTAGCTCAGTCCGTAAAGCGTCTGCCTGCAGGGCGGGAGACCTGGGTTCCATCCCTGGCTTGGGAAGATCCCCTGGAGAAGGCAGTGGCAATCCACTCCAGCATCCTCTCCAGGAAAATCTCATGGACAGAGGAGCCTGGTGGGCTGCAGTCCACGGGGTTGCAAAAAGTCGGGCACAGTCGTGTGACTACTTACTTACTTCCCACATGTAAGAAAGCTGCTCCTCCAGACTGTCTTTTAACCATCTTACTCGATCCTCCCACTAACAAGGTCAAAGACGTGCAGTGTAGGGACGATACACTTTTTAAAATCTAACGTGCTGACCTTTCCTCTGTCGATGAGACAGACACAGAAGACGTTGTATGTACATCCAATGGGATATCCCTCAGCCATGAAAAAAAATGAAATGATGCTACTTGCGGCATGGGTGGACCCAGAGAGTGTCACAGTGAGTGAATTAAGTCAGACAGAGGAGGAGAAATAGCATATGACATCCCTTAGGTGTGGCATCTAAAAAGAAACACTACAAATGAACTTACTTACAGAGATTCACAGACTTAGAGGAGGAATTTACGGTTGCCCAGGCAGGGGGACGGAAGGTGAATGATACAGGGGAAGGGATAGTTAGGGAGTCTGGGATGGACATGTCCACACTATGCATGCGTGCGTGCTAAGTCGCTTCAGTCGTGTCCGACTCTTTGCGACCCTATGGGTTGTAGCCCACCAGTCTCCTCTGTCCATGGGATTCTCCTGGCAAAAATACTGGAGTGGGTTGCCGTTTCCTTCTCCAGGGCATCTTCCCAAATCAGGGACTGAACCCAGTTCTCCTGCATTGAAGGCAGATTCTTTACCGTCTGAGCCGCCAGGGATGTTGATTCAATGGGATATGACTCAGCCATCAAAAAGAAGGAATTAATGCCCTCTGCAGCACCACGGATGGATCTACAGATTATCGCACCATGTGAAGCAAGTCAGAGAATAAGAACTATTGTGTGACATCCCTTATATGCAGAATCTAAAAAGACATGATACAAATGAACTTATTCACAAAACAGAAACAGACTCTCAAATTTAGAGAATGAACTTATGATCGCCTATACACACTGCTATATTTAAAATGAATAACCAACAGGGACCTGCTGTCCAGCACAGGGGACTCTGTTCAACACTCTGTGATAACCTGATGGTTCCCAGGGGGAAGGGATGGGGGGAGGGATAGCTGGGGAGTCTGGGATGGACATGGACACACGGCTGTATTTAACATGGAGAACCAGCAAGGACCCGCTGGACAGCACAGGGAACTCTGCTCAATGTCACGTGGCAGCCTGGATGGGAGGGGAGTTTACGGGAGAATGGGTACATGTGTATGGATGGCTGAGTGCCTTTGCTGACCCCTGAAAGTATCACAACATTGTAAGTTGGCTATACCTCAAAACAAGAGAAAGTTTTAAAAAATTACAAGCATTACAAAAACTCATAATAAAATTGATAGTGACGATAGGCTTTTTGAAAAGGATTTAATTAGAAACCTCCGTGAAGAAGTGTGTTCTCCGTTAACAAGCTGTAAGCGTCCTACTCAAACCAACTTTCTTTACGTAAAAACCTGCTGGCGTCCTCGAAGCCCCGTTGATAGAGCGATTCCATTGTCCTCCTGCTTGGCGGGAAGAGGGCCCGGTTGAGTCTTACCAAGTTTGCCACGGACAGCTGGGACAGAAAGACACACGGGGACTGTAAGATATGACGGGGCTAGTCAATCAATCTTTACTTCTGTAAGCAAAGCCTGCTTGTTATAGATACGATTAGCAATGCAAAAACAAACAAACAAAAAATCAGTAGGAAGAAAATCATCTTAAAATGTGAACTGCAGGGCTCTCCAGTCAGTATAAACAAAATAACCTTAAAACCTCAACTGCGGGCTTTGCTGATGGCTCGGTGGTAAACAATCTGCCTGCCACTGCGGTGGACACAGGTTGGATCCCTGGTCCCGGAAGAGCCCCCACGTCTCAGGGCAGCTAGGCCAGTGCGCCACGATGATTAAACCTGTGCCTGAGAGCCTGGGAGCTGCAGCTGCTGAGGTCACGTGCCACCACTGACTGCAGCCTGTGCCCCCTAGAGCCCCGTACTCTGCAACAAGAGAAGCCACTGCAATCAGAAGCCTGCTCTCTGCAGCTTGAGAAAATAACAAAACACAGAACTCCACAATGTAGACGTCTGCAGGTTTCTCAGTCTGGGTACCACTGAGGTTTGGGGCCAGATGCTTCTCTGTGGGGGCATCGGTCCTGAACACTGTAGGATGCTGACCAACACGCCTGAGCTCTATCCCTACATGCCAGCACACATTCCTGACTTTGCTAGCGTCTCCTGCATATAATGGGCTTCTCTGGTGGCTCCCAAGGTAAAGAAACTGCCTGCCGATGCGGGAGCCACGGGCCCCGTCCCTGGGTCGGGAAGATGCCCTGGAGGAGGGCGTGGCAGCCAACTCCAGCGTTCTTGCCTGGAGAACTCCGTGGACAGAGGCCATAGTCCATTGGGTCACAAAGAGTTAGACACCACTGGGCAACTAATGCTTTCAACTGGGCAACTAAAACTTTCAAGAGCTACAGTCCACGGGGTTGCAAAGAGTCAGACGTGACTTAGCACACACGCACCTGTATATAGTATCACCTCCTGTTGAGAACTAGCTTTTGGCTAGATTGAGGGAATCAACATTTTTATGTAAGTTATTCTGGCAGGTCCCTAAGTTTTTCACTGATGTTTTTATATACTTAATTACTGCCACCTTTTGAAACAATTAAATGATCTCATTTACAACTGCGCTGAGCGGACTTCCTTGGTAGTCCAGTAGGTTAAGAGGTCCCCTTCTAAAGCAGGGGATATCGACTGGATCCCTGGTCAGGGAGGTAGGTGAGGAAGGAAATGGCAACCCACTCCAGAATTCTTGCCTGGAGAATCTCATGGACAGAGGAGCCTGGCGGGGCTACAGTCCATGGGGTAGCAAGAGTCGGACACAACTTAGCAACTTCACCACCACCAGGGAGGTAGGATCCCACACACCGTGTGGCCAAACAACCAGAACATAAACAACAGAAAAAATACTGTAACAAATTCAACAAAGACTCTTTAAGAAAAAAAAATGGTCCACATTAAAAAAAAAATCTTAAATAAAATTGCAATTCCCTGGTGGTTCAGTGGTTCAGACTCTGCCTTCCAATGCAGGGTACACAGGTTTCAATCCCTAGTATGGGAACCAAGGTCCCACATGCCTCAGGGCAACTGAGCCCAAGCATCTCAATTACTGAGTCCAAGTGCCACAACCACAGAGTCCATGCGCCCTGGAGTTCGGGTCTCGAGCCACAGTCAGAGAGCCTGTGAGCTCTGGAGACCTCTCGCTGAAACAAGGAGCCTGCCCACCGCAACTAAGATCTAATGCAGACAACCAGTAAGTAAAGAAGTTATCTTTTTTTAAAAATAAAATTGCATTGAAAACTTTCCAAGTATGCTGACCTGAAAAATAAATGAAGAAACGGGAAATGTCCCACAGAGACAGTTCAAAAATAGTAAAAAAAAAAAAAGATTGCACATTCACCGTCTATAGGTACCCAGGTCCATATGCACGACATATGCTGTGACTCATTTAAAATATGGCAAAAATCACTGCAATACTGTAAAGTAATTAGCCTCCAATTAAAATAAATTTAAAAGAATAAAATATGCATGCAAATCTGTACATACGATGGGGTTGCCAAGTGTGGGAAGCATGTGGAAAGTTTCAGGGGGTCTGTGACGATCGGGGAACATCAGGACTCACCAGTACGTCCTGGTTGGTGATGCTAACGTAGAAATGCAGCCGCCCTTTATCCTGCGGGGAGACGTCCAGGCGCCCACTGAATGGGGAGATGGTCACCGTGCGGCCAGCGGGCAGGACGGGCAGGCTGTTGGTGAAGCCTCCGTCCACCCACTTCTGCGGAGAAAACGGCCCCGGTCAGCACGTGGAGACCACGTCCCTCCACGTGAAGACAGTGAGTGTGGATTTCCCAAGACGACACTGTCCTCCTGAGAATCCGAGCCCTGGGGATGAACGCTCTTGAGTTACTACTGATGAGGACCAGCTGGATCGGATTTCTTTTGGAAGCGAGGCAAATCTTTGTATGCATATCATTTACCCACAGGCTTCCGCGGTGGCTCCATGGCAAAGAACCTGCCTGCAATGTGTTCAATCCCTGGGTGGGGAAGATCCCCTGGAGGAGGGCATGGCAACCCACTCCAGGATTCTTGCCTGGAGAATTCCACGGAGAGAGGAGCCTTCTGTGCTATAATTTATGGAGTCACAAAGAGTCGGACACGACTGAGCACAGAACACACACACACAGCCTTTATGCATATACTAAGAAGTTTGGGTTTATAGTAAGAAGTTATGGAGAAGGCAGTGGGTTTCTGCGGTGGCTCTGCTGGGAAAGAATCTGCCTGCCAATGCCGGAGACCTGGGTTCGGTTCCTGGGTCGGGAAGATCCCCTGGAGAAAGAAATGGCAACCGGCTCCAGTATTGCCTGGAGAAGCCCATGGACAGAGGAGCCTGGTAGGTTCTCAGTCCATGGGATCGCAAGGGTCGGACACGACTTAGCGACTAAACCAAACCAAGAAGTTTGGACGGAATCAGGAAATCTCTCCACTTGTTTAAAAGCTTTAAGTAGATTACTTAAGACCTTGTTATTTTTACTGATGATGGCAGATGCATAAGAAGCCACGTGTAACAAGCTTGGGATTTAAACCATCTAATCAGGATGCAAAGCCAAGTTGACTCTGACACTGAGCAGACCATCCCCCATAACAGCGGCTCCATTTTTAACTTCAGAACTGCAAATCAGCATTGTCTGTAGCCAAGTGAAAAGTAAATAAATAAAGGACCACTAGAAGTGCTTTCATCTCCAAAGTGACTCCTGAGTACATAGGGCTTCAAGCCTTAAAGAATTTGGGGTGGGGTGGGGTGGAAGGGTGGGAGAGGGATAGGAAGTGTTCACCAGGAACATTGTTCAGAAGAGATTCTGTGCTTTCAGACCTCAGCCCAAAGGAAAGAGGGGGAGACACACAGCAGCGGGACAGAGGACCGCGAACAGGCTTCCTCACACCCGACACTGGGGGAAGGCTGGAGAAGCACAAAGACGCAATTCCTCATGTTTGTTTTAAGTAAGAAAGACTTTCAATCTGTCCTTGAGCCCCAGAATCAGCTCTAACAATAAATACACAGACACACAAAACTGAAGTTCAAACGCTCCAAGCTATATTCAGATTGGAAATATCCTGCCGTGCTTGTGGGAATACAAAGCTAGAAGTGGAGAACACCTTGTCACTCACGCAGAGTCAGACATCCCGGAGTGTGAAGTCAAGTGGGCCTTAGGAAGCATCGCTACGAACAAAGCTAGTGGAGGTGACGGAATTTCAGCTGAGCTATTTCAGATCCTACAAGATGATGCTTTTCAAGTGCTGCACTCAACATGCCAGCCAATTTGAGTTTTCCAATTTGGAAAACTCAGCAGTGGCCACAGGACCGGAAAAGGTCCAGCCTCCTCCCAATTCCCAAGAAGGGTGGTACTCAAGTATGTGCTAACCATTGGACAATTGCACTCATCTCCCATGCTAGTAGGATCATGCTTAAAATCTTGCATGCTAGGCTTTACTGTTACGTGAACCAAGAACTTCCAGATATGCAAGCTGCATTTAGAAAAGGCAGAGGAACTGCAAATCAAACTGCCAACATTCACTGGATCGTGGAGAAAGCAAGGGAATTTTGGAAAAATATCTACTTCTGCTTCCTGCTTCACTGATTATACTAAAGCCTTTGATTAAAGCCTTTCCAAAAACTGTGGAAAATTCTTAAAGATATGGGAATACCAGACCATCTTACCTGTCTCTGGAGAAACCTGTATGCCGGTCAAGAGGCAACAGTTAGAATCAGACAAGGAACAACTGACTGGTTCAAAATTAGTAAATTTTGAAAAGCAGTTAGTAAATTAGTAATTTACTAATTGAAAAGTAAATTAGTAAATTTTAGTAAAGGACTAAGACAAGGCTGTAAACTGTCACCTTGCTCATTTAACTAATATGCAGAGTATATCACACGAAATGCCAGGCCGGATGAATCCCAAGGTGGAATCAAGATTGTAAGAAGAAATATAAACGACCTCAGATCTGCAGATGACACCTGTCCAATGGTAGAAAGTGAAGAACTAAAGAGCCTCTTGATGAAAGTGAAAGAGGACAGTGAAAAAGCTGACATGAAACTCAACATTCAAAAAACTAAGATCATGGCATCCAGTCCCATCACTTCATGGCAAATAGATGGGCAAACAGGGGAGGCAGTGACAGATTTTATTTTCTTGGGCTGCAAAATCACTGCTGAAGCTGAAGCTTCAATACTTTGGCCTCCTGATGTGAAGAACCATCTCACTGGAAAAGACCCTGATGCTGGGAAAGATTGAGGGCAGGAGGAGAAGGGGACGACAGAGGATGAGACGGTTGGATGGCACCACTGACTCGATGGACATGGGTTTGAGTAAACTCTGCAAGGAAGGACAGTGGAGGACAGAGGAGCCTGGCGTGCTGCAGTCCATGGGGTCACAAAGAGTAGGACACAACTTATCGACTGAACAACAGCAACCTCACAAAAGAATCTATCTTGGAGAAAAAAAAAGCAAGGAGGTGAGGACCGAGAAACAGGTTAGCATAACGTGTCCTTAACTGAGTTAAGGACCTTCATTCTCCTTTTCCTAGATTTTAAAAAAAAATGTTTTTCTTACTTGTTTTGATTTCTAGAGCAGGTGACTAAATGATAGGTATTGTTTACAAAGGCCTTGGCCAGCAACCAACTCCCCTCAGAGGAAATAAAAGTATGCAAACAGAAAGTGAAAATGTGTTGAAAATCTCTGGTTTGAGGAAACCGCATTTTGGTGGAGGAAAAAAAACACAAATGGATTAGATTAAAATGAACCTGACCTGGGTAATCTGCTTACCGTCAATATTTTTTAAAAGAACAAAACAGATTATATAACTATTTATTATATATACACATTTATATATGTTTGTGTATAACTTGTATGTATGAATATGGATACACACACACACATGACTATACAAACAGTGTCTAAAAAAGACAGGCTTGTGTTAAGAAGGCCCCCACAGTGTAAAGTAACCACTATATTTGAGCAGACTCTGGAAGACAGTGGGGGGCAGAGGAATCTGGCATGCTGCTGTTCGTGGGGTTGCAAAGAGCTGGAGACGACTGAGCGACTGAACAACAACAAATATACTTTGATAAAAATTAATTAATTTTAAAAAAGAAGATCCCAGATATCTGGTTCTGTGCCTTATTGTCCTGGAGTTTTTTGGTTTTTTTTTTTTTCCTTCTCTTCCCTCATTGCTTTGAATGTAGGTGCCAATTTCTGGAATAAGATAATACCTAGAAAGAGAGAGAAAGGACACCTTCCAAAATTACCTCTCATACCCTCAGTAGAATATCTCACCAATAATGCAAAAATTCACAAAGGTTTCATCAAGGGAAACAAAAAATATGTACCAAGTGCCATATAACTTAACTGAGAGCTCACTTGTTTTATTCAGCTTAAGCAAAAGAAGGGCAATCTGGCTCGTTAATGTGCAAAGTGTTCTAATTTACCATGGGGCTAATGACTGCCGCTTAAGGGAATTGAAAGTCTTTTTTCCAAATTTTGTTCACTCTTGTTAGCTTATTCTGATTGGATAAATGAGTCGGGGAAACATACAGCTTATCAAGCGGCTTGATTAAATTTTCAGCATTACTCGCTACTCCGCAACCGTAACCCCGGCAGCTCAGACGTTGTAAATACAGTCCATCTTTCTCCTGATTCATGGTCTAATGAACTGTACCACTCTCAACAACCAACCCCCTACACACACACAGCCCACCCCTCCCCCAGGCATGCTAATGTGAACAAAATTTCTGGAAACAACAATAACATTACTAAGTGCAAATACCTTATATCTCATGTGCTATGGATAGATTAAAATTCTGCATGCCCTATGCATCTGGCCATGAATTCTCTGGCTGTTTGCAACATATTCCTCAAAATCATTCCCACTTCGTGGGCAGCATTCCATAAGCTGCCGTGACACCTGCTTCCGTGAAACCTAGGATTCCAAAATCTTGCCGATGGCTCTTCCCAGGAGAGTTCTGTCCTGAGTTTCTTTGTTTCAGATTACAGCACCTTCATTCATCAAAGGAAAGAGTAGGCCAAATATGTTAAAAAGAAAATTATTCCAGGAGAAAAATGTGCTTCAAAAAGCAAACATGTGGGACCCAGTGGTGGCCCAGTGGCCAAGACTCTCCACTCCCAATGAAGGGGTCCCAGCTTTGCTCTCTGGTCAGGGAACTAGATACCATATGCCCAACTTAAAAAAAAAAAAAAAATTCCACGTGCCACAACACAGGCCCAGTGCAGTCAAACTAAAAATTTTTTTAAAAAATTCTGGTAAATTAAAAAACATTTATAAATGTGTGTAGAGAGAAAGAGACAGAAGTCGCTCAGTCGTGTCCAACTCTTTGTGACCCCATAGACTGTAGCCCCCAGGCTCCTCCGTCCAAGGGGTTTCCCAGGCAAGAATACTGGAGTGGGTTGCTATTTCCTTCTCCAGGGGATCTTCCTGACCCAGGGATCGATCCCAGGTCTCCCCCACTAACGGCAGACGCTTTACCATCTGAGCCACCAGGGAATATTTAAATGTGTATAAATATTAATAAACAGTAAAAAAAAAACACATCTGGCCCCTACAGGTTTCTGTCACTTGTCCTAACATCCTTTACCCGCATCTCTGACCATGTTCTAACGTGCTCCACGGGAAGGTGAACTGTCTGAGTCCACAGAGTTGAAAAGGAACAACGCTTCTTCAGTAGAGAAGACGATCTCGTGCCCAGAGGTGGGGAGGGGGTCT